GAGAACTCTTGTGTTTCAGATCTGGTAGTATTTGTGTTAAAGTAACAAACATGAAATGGTGTTTCTCGACTTCGGCTTTGAGTTTTGTCTGCAGCCACCGCCCAATGGCTTATCGGATAGAGTTTCGCCAGTCAATTTAATGACTGCTTCGCACGATTACACATGACTGCGACCCTCTCCTATTGAAGAGCCCATAGTCATTGGTTGATGGGGCGTTGTGTTATAAAGATGTTGACTGCCATTGGCGTTGTAGCGCTCTGTGGAATAGTTGTCTTCAACTTGTTGAAAAGTCATGCATTTTGAGAGGATAAGACCATTCAAAGGGAGTGGGGTTTAGTTGATCCTCTTCTTACAATGGCTACACGCTTTGTCTTGTACTTATCATGCATTTACTATTGATATTGTCATGGTGGTCAAACTCTCTGCGTTCATAGTAGGCTCTGCAATACCCCTTAAGCTGTGCTGCTTGTGCGATATACGTGCGCATTTGCATTTGACGTAAAGTCTGAAAGTCGTCTAATGGTATAGTTTTAGATAACGTTTGTGCGCAGGAACTGTCAGCATTGTTATGAAAACTTTGGAGCTAAGTTAAACTACGCACACCCCCATTCTCTGACCATAAACAAGTCGGTGGTTACCTGTTCTGCAATAGGATCACTAACGTCAATTAGGACGTCTTTCGATCTGACGAAGCTCCTAAGCCTTTGTGTAAAGCATGTAAACCTAGGGACTTGGAAATATCGAGGCCTGGCACACTCGACTAGGTCTTGCACTTCACTTTAACTGTTATATTTTCGTAAGACGCGCGGTCATCTTGGAATCAGATTAAAGGTTTAGAAGCTATCCCATTCTCCACTTTTGCCCCTTATGGGTTTATTACTTCCGCATCCATTGAGACCCTAGCAGAGGTCATTAGTCGTGAGTGGAGACACCTTTCTGTTGCCCATTGTTATCAACCTTTAGTCCAATGGCCTCAAACAGCAATAGCAGCAGCAAGACGGCACATGGTCGGGAAGCGGAGTCCTTCCTACGCGCCGAGAAACGCCTCTCTTCGAGTTTGTTGGCCGTGCTGGCTGCAACGTTGGTGGGCAGTCGGGTGTGTGTGACTCTCCTTGACGACACACACATTACAGGTTGTCTTACCCTCATCGATGGCTTCCTCAACCTCCATCTGGAAGGCGGTGTCACCGTTACACCGCCTTCTACGCATAATCATTCTCCTCTTCAAACATACCTCGAAGTGAGTCATATTTCTTTCTTTCTCTGACTTTTCCAAGCTCTTCTATCTCCACCATGAACTTCCCTTTTCCCATCTTTTTTTCACTTACCAGAATGGCTTACCTTCATTTTGTTTGGATGTGTGAACCGGATTTTTTCCCATTTGCAATGCTTAACTTATTGAAACTTATTGAGGTTGCCTCATTTTTTTGCTGAAATTCAAATGTCTTTAGTGCTCCTACTGAATCATAAAACGAAATTGCTGCCGCTTTGTATGCAGGTAGCTCGTCTACGCGAGACTTCGCAGCGTTCATCGACTTATTTTCT